CCCCCCAGCCCCACTTCACTGCACGGGCTGGGCGCCCCTAGACCCAGTGAACGGGCTGGGCGCCCTCTCGGTCTTCCCCACGGGCTGCGCCCCCTTCCCAGGCAGTGCCCTACCGACCTCCTTATACGCTGCCCTTAGGCACGGCTTTATCCCCCCAGCCTCTGGCTGGGCTAGCCCCGTGCCCTCTGCCTGCCTGTCAGCGCCTGAGAGCCGGATCCCAGGGCGACTGGCTCCCTGCCGGCCCCGGAGAGGGGTGACTCCCCTCCGCGCCCAGCGCTGAGTTTAGCTCTGAGCTTGAGGTGCTGGAGCCCCGCTCCTCCTCCCCCTCTTCCTGCCGGTGCTGCGGGCTGCAGCCTCGGGGACACTCATCTCCTCGGCAGGGCGGCGGCAACTTCCTTCTGCCCTCCTGCGGCGGCGGGCTCCTGCTGCCCTTTCATCCCGCTGCCGAGCGGTGGGCAGGCGGGCGCTGCTGATTTCTCCCCCGCTGGGTTAATCCGGGGTAGATGGTGCCTGTCCCCTCCTCCTCCTAGGAGCTAAACTCCCGGTGCCGCAGCAGCAGAGGGACGGGACTGCAGAGCTTTAGCGATCTGCTCTGCTTGCGCTCTGGATACCTGGCTCCATCTCTCTCTGCCTCTCTCCTGCAATGACCCTAGGCCAGCTCCTCTCACTCTCTCCTGCCACCGTGTGTGTGTGTGATTGCAAGCCGCTGGCCCTCCTCGTCTTCCAGTCCAGCTTTCTCTCCCCCTCTTTCTCTTTGGAGAGGAGTGAGCTCTGTGTGTGTGATGCTTTTATACGGCGCTCTCTCTCCCTCCGCTGTCCCCTTTCCCCCTCCCACCTTCCCCCTCTTAAGCCTCCTGTTGCAGCCGATCTCTTTTCCCCACTGCCTGTGGTTCTGCTGGCTGTTCCACAGTGATTCCCTGTGCAGCCTTGCCTTGCCTGCCTAGCCTCATCTGCAGCCAGCACTCTTACTTCTCTGCTCTAGGAAAAGAGGCAGTGAGCACAATTCTCTCTCTTCCCTGCACCTTGCCTAGGCATTTATACCAGAGCAAAGTGGGCATTAAACACCACCAAAACAGAATATCCACTTTGGACTGGTGCAAATAACTATGCAAAGTGTAAGGCAACAGAATGCAAACCCTGTATATTCCTCACTCCCTGCTTTGTTCTCAGGAATTTATAATTAGCCTGGAAAAATATTCCCCTTGATGGGAAATGTGTCCCTGGGGTGAAAATTAATTTTCATTTTTCAAAAAAATAAGGGTGGTGTAAATCAATGCAGCTGCATTGACTCCTATGGAGGCAGGCTGATTTACACAAGGTGAAGATCTGGCCCAATATGTGAGTTGTTTGTTTTGAAGTTATAAAGTTACCAAACAAAATGGAAGTGTTGGACTCTGACATTGTTCCTCTGCAGTTCAAAAAGCCTATGTAAGAATATTGTTCAGGTGTGGGCCATATCAGTGATCGGTATTTCTAAGCATTGGTGACAAAATAAAATAAAATAAAAAATGCTTACAATGGCCGAGAGACTGAATTTCATTACACTGCATTATTGGTATGAAAGGCAAGGAGAAGTTCCCTGTCCCAAAACTGGTTTACGGTCTGACTGATTTTATCAGAAGGGTCTTTATGAGCTAATGGCCAAATCCTTTTTGCCTTACATGATTTGTCCCATTAACCTCAGCAGAATGGTTCAAGTGAGAAAAGCAAGCAACGTCTGGCCCCTTGTCAGTAATCTGCAGACTCATAGTAGGAAACTGATCTCCTCTTGTAAACTGGGTGTGACTCCACTGAAGTGAATGGACTGGGTTTTTTAGACCATTCGGCTGCTTTACACCACTCTGAATCCACTCTCCCCATCAGTCATACACCAAGTCCTTCTCAGCCAGTCCAAAGGACATGTACCTATGAAAAACTGGCGTGAGATGAATTGCCGGGACATGTGGTGGCTTTTATAGATCTGTGTAAATGGACAGATTAAAGAATGAATCAGAAGAGTGTCTCATATCCTTCCACTGAGAATTTTTTTCTGATTAGAATCATTATAAAATAACACTAGACCTGAAATAACTCTATTAAGGTAACAATAAGGCTGTGACTAAAAGCCACAAACTCTAACAAGTTCAGATTTAAGGATTTTTATCCATTAATACATCTCATTGTGTCTCAGTACTGCAGCACATGTGATCTGCATATCTGTGCACTGATCAGAATGAATATAGTCTCTCTCTAATTTGCCTTGATTTGGAGATCACATATAACATTACTTTAACATGCTTTCTTGTGTTCATATGTATTCATGACACATTTACATGTAACAGTCATACTAGGAAATATTGCATTGATATTCTAATAGTGTATAGAACTAGCACATTATATTAAAAAAACCTATGAAAAGTAGCTTTTTTTTCAAACACATATTTTGGACATTAAAAAAAAAATAAAAATACCAAGAAGCATAACTAGTGATATGTTTTAAATTAAACATTTTTGGCCAGATTCTCTTCTCAATAACACTAGTATGATTCTGGAAGTCAGTGGTGTTATAAGGTATAAAATCAGTGTAAGCAAACAGAATCAGGCCTCTTTCTCAAAAGAATTTGTCCAAGAAAACATTTGATTCTAACATTTTTTCAAAATATTTGCCTTGGTGTCAGATACCATAAGCCCCCAGATAAGCAGAGTGGACTGTGCTTCTTTCTTAAGTGCCCACATGAATAGTAATCACCGATTCCCAGTTTTTGCTCAGACTACATGTGTTCCTACTCTACATAAGTGCCATCACTCATGCATAATTAGGTTAACTACATACCTAACAGGCTTATTTGCTGTCTCCACCTGTACTCAGTCTCTGGGCAAGTGCATGGGTGAGTTGGAGAGTGTCAGTGAAATGTAAAAATGTGGTGGTAACAAGGCAAACATCAGTTCAGTGGCCTTCGGATTTGCAAAATACTAAGCTGAGAGAGTGGAATTGATTTAAAGTTATATAATAAAAAACACAGATGGTAACTGTTGAAGCTACTGGTATGTCAGGGTTCAATATTTTAAACAAAATAAAGAGAAGATTCTTGAAAAGTGGCAGTATAATTACAACCCGGACCATGAAAGTGGTCATGCTGGAAAGGTGGAAAATGTCAAAGAAACTTGTGCCACTGGTTTACCAAGGCCTGCCACCCACAAGTTCCCGTCAGTGGATCCATGTTGTTGGGGGAAGCTGGAAACTTGGCATGTGAGGGATGTGTTTTTAGATATGAATGTTACAAATCAGTGGCTGGAGAGATGGAAAGATCATAATGCAAAACAGTCCGAGGACAGGATAGTGACAAAAACAAACGTGGGTTTGCTGCTGTGCTCTGGGTAATGTAAATCCTCCCTGATCTTATGAAAGACTATGAACAAGTAGAAAGGCATCTTTAATCCAGATGAGCTGGGTTTGTACTAGTGTGTGTTTCCTGATGGGGCATTAACTTCTTATGTGTCAAGCTGTTCTGCAAAGATGAGGAAGGACAGAGCAACAATACTGTTGACAGTAAGTGGATGGCAGCAAGGAACTGGATTCTCTTGTGACTGGAAAAAACAAGGATCCACATTGTTTTAAAAATCTAGAAACATCACTTGTACCCCCATGGTGCCAACAACTCTGCGTGGATGACTGCAGAGACATGGAAAAATGATTACACAACAAAATGCAGAATAAAAAGAGCAATTCTGCTCTGTGTCTGTTGTGTGGCTCATATAGATGAACCGTAAACATTTTTAAGTAGCAAACATGACTTCATTGGTACATCCAGTGGATTGAGGGTCATAGCATGGGGTTAAAGTAAAGGAGTTTTGCTAAAAACCGTGGGAGAACTCTTCCTCTGGTGTGAGGCAGACTTGCTCCACCACCTGCCATTTCCTCTCTGGGTAGTGAAATGAGGACTCATCAGGAAGGGGGATTTCCAGTTGAGGACTGCAGGAAGAGCTGCTGTCTAGCCTGGGGAGTTTGGGGGCTCCCAGCCTTAATGATAGCAATACCTAGCTTTTATGTAGTGCTTTTCATCAGTAGACCTCAAAGTGCTTTACAAAGGAGGTTAGTATTGTTAGCCTTATCTGTAAAAGCTGAGGCACAGAGAGGTGAAAGGACTTACCCAAAATCACTCAGCAAACCAGTGGCAGAGCTGACGGTAAAACCTAGGTCACCTGAGTCCTGGTCCAGTGCTCTGTCCCCTGGGACACACTGCCTCCCACTTCTGTAAAGTAGAAGCAACTCGGGTTTCCCAAGTCAAGAGATGCCTAACAGTCTGTTCTAGTTGGTGATGTGTCCCTTTGCTAGCTCCCCGAGAGTAATGAGTCCTCCCTCTTTCCTCTCCCTGCCTAGGCTCTGAGGGAAGAGGGGACTGAAGACCACTGCTCCTCTCACCTTGAAGGCTTCAGCTTCCTCTCCAAGGATAAAAACAGGCACAGACAAGGA